CCCAGTAGATTTGGCACTTCTGCAAGATTAGGAATTTCATGGTATTTTCAGATATAATTAGAGCTAATCCATAACTGTGCAGATATCCTCCCTAGAGCCAAATTTGTGTCGTCCAGAGAGAACATCCAATAAATCAATAGCAATTATTTTCATTTTACGCCTTTTACTACTAAAAGTGTCGATATAGCTGAAAAATTCCATGTTGCGGCAATATTTGGTATACAAAATGGAAATATCACCTTGAACTTATCACAAGAGGCTCCTCCGTATTCCTAAGTGCTTTCAAATATATAGCCTGGTCTCTAGTAAACATTAATGCGAGGTTAATTTGGGGAAATATTGTTGATTGAAAATACCCAGCTTCACCATTATTTAGCCTGTGATTTTAAACCGGAGATTCAGTTTTTTTATCTTACCAGTCATTGATATTTCTGAAAATCATTTTTTGTCCTAAAAATATGAATGATAGGCTAGACACTTAATTTTATTAAGTTACTAAAAATATCCAACATAAACACAATTTTTTTACGGATTCTGAATTTTAGTCCCAAGTAAACTCTATCCATATGATTATCGATTTAGAAACGGTTGTTTAAGTCCGTCGCTGTTAGAAAAATCAAATTTAATTCGATCATCTTTCAATTAACCTAGTTAGGTCATTCATGAAGTGTTATTGTATTTTGAACTGTTTAAAACTTAGGATTTTTTGCAAATTACAGGCTATTTAATGCTCTGAAATGTCTTTGCACTTGAAAGTTTATGAATTTAACTAAAATTTGAAAGATGGAAATATTATTTTATCTACAGGCGGATACCGAAAGTCAACAATGAATTGTATTTGGTGATGAAGAGGGGCGGAGTTAGGGAATGGGGTGGTTGGGACGGGGTTTGGTGCAGTGTTTACTGAGGTAAAAATTTACTTTGGGAGAGAAATGGGGATTTTTGTTGAGTCCAATGCATGCTTGAGTGCATTCTATATCAAGGGGAGACCTAAAATTAAAAAAGAATAGGCAAATTATATCTTTTACATTTCTTAGTAAAATACTCAAGATTTGACAGCTTTTAATTTCGTTTGTTGAATCCTTTCCTTTTGAAATCTTTTACCAACTTTGTAGTTTTCACTTTGTTAGCTTAACAATTTAAAGTGAAGTAGAATTGATGAACATAAATACTTCTCTACATCTCATTATATTTGCATTGTTTATTTCAAATAAAGATCATGATAGTTTTTGATATCGCGGCTAATTCAGGTAATCACTAATGAATAATTATTTTATCATCCTTTTATTATCCAATTACTTTAACTTGGTTTGCTAACAATCTTGATAAACTGAATTATGATTTAAGCGACCAATATTTAGTGCATCTAAAATTTAGTCGCAAGTAAAACTAAATATGATTCGGAGAAATTCAACTTTGAAATTTCATTTCTGCATTTCCACATTCTTCCAGTAAATACCACATGGTAATGTATGCGTGTTTCAGTTCGGATCTTGCGTATATGTAGCCATTAAAATTATGTAGAAAATAATGCATTTACGTGTAAATGTTGAAAAACGATGCGAAAATTGATTTTTTTAATTACTGCTTTTGTAATCAATATGGTCATATAAAGTTGTACAAATTTTAATCAAGTTAAGTTCTAATATGCACGCTTTCTTTCCCTTTTCTATTTCAACGCATTCCTGTCAATAAATAATTATATGAATTTTTAACATTAAAAATCAATAAATATTTTGTATAATCTTCTAATGAATCATATCGTCAGCGATATTAATTTAATACAATTTTAGCTTAGAAAAGAGCACTTTCGTGTTGTAGTTCACAAACGCTGCCACAAAAGCTGTCAGATCTATCATTAAACAAAACAAATTGCGCTGATTTAATTACGAAAATATATTTCACCATATATTACTAATACTTTATAATAATATATAAATTTGGTTTACTTGAATTTTTATTAAACAACTACTTTATTTTAGGCATAGTTAATTTATTCAGGGTAGAAATATTCACACCCATTTCCTTGAAAAAAATTGGAATGCATTAATTATTTCTAAAATCATGTTTTCACCAAACGAAAGTATTTTTGAGCATTTTACCTGCATATAAGAGGAACACGATGGCCATAGTGGAAATTTGTCGGCTGAAACTCCATTCGCTTCCAGAAGTGGATGTTACTTTGTTCAGTGAATCCGTTTTCATTGCTGATTCTGAAATTGAAAACCATTCCAATTAAAATAATGTGACGACTAACTTTGTGTATAATAAATGGAAATATTCTTGTTTTACTCAGAAACTTCAAAATCCTGCATTAAACGATCCCCTCCAGTTGTCACTCTATTTAATATAATGAATATGCTTAATAGGGAGACCGCAATTTCGGTAGCCAAGATAGTCCGGTTTTAACATGGTTTTTCGAGGTGGTGCCCACATTATCTACAAAGTCCAGAAATTTCTCCACCAGCTAATTTTGAGGAGCAATATTAAAACCCTCTTCCATCTAGATTGAGATTGGTATACCGCTTGCAGATTTGCCTTTCTTTCTCGGTCAGGTAGTCACCTTTGCAAACGAAGTATATTAGATGAGCTGTTGAAATGTCATGATTTTATTGCATGCATAACCCCCACTAACCTGGATTGAAAACAGATTCAGAGAATAAGTAAAGTAGAGGATAAGGTTCAGCTACAACGGGGCACTGACCCTGGCTTCATTCCAGCATAAAGATTATCTTTGGGCACATTAATACCGATGACCAGGAGAAAGGTTACAAAAAATATTTCGTCAACAAACATTGATATATATATTATATATACCTCCGCATAATTTGTAAATGGTGTGCTTTACCTGTTGACAATCAGTGAATGTGTGTAAGAGTTTGGCTGACTTCTTCATGATAATAAAATTCAACAAATTTATCCTAGCACGAGATTCGTTTCCACAATTCAATTTCAAATTCTTTACTAGCTCTTTGCCCCTTCCTCTTTCACATTCAGCTTTGAATTTCAGCTTAACCGGGGTTCTAATTCAACTCCTAAAGTCTTTGAAATGAACTTAAGTCTTTCAAAAGATAGATCTAGGCCTAACGCGATTGAAATCGTAAAGTGGTTTTGTTTTTTGGCATTTCAATTACTTTTGTTACATCTTGTTGAAATATAAAATTTGTAAGTTAATGATACTTGAAACTGCTAAATCAAAAAATATTCCAAAATGAAAGCAAATAAGCTCATGAGAAACTAACATAGTAAGTCGAATATAAATTTTAACACTTTTATTTACTGATTAATGGAGCCAAATTTAAATGGTGGGTGAACGTGGGAATTGAAATTGTTATTCGCACGAGTCATTTTTCCATTCATTAATGGTAACTACAATTGAGAAACACCACAAATGAAACATCCTCATAATGAACTTGAAGTATATTGTGCGATTCTGTAATGTGAAAGTAATTAGGTGGATATGAAGTTAATTCGTTAAATTCTTCTCAAAAGGAAATTTATTTTCTTTCATTTTCTTGTAATAAGCGTACACCAATTTATTTCTTCCATTTCTTCTTTAAAAAAGCACAAACGATTTTTCATTTCTGTCCATTTATGTCAGCTTATTCATTTTCTTACATCTCTTTGTATTTTAGAAATAACATAATTTCAAATTTTGGTCAAATACGTGATTAAAAATTTACACTTTTCTCTATATAAGGACTAATTGAGCATTGGTGATATTTCGATTCCTCCTCAAGAGATCTTTTAAACTTTTAAGCTTCCTGTTTTAATAAGCTCGATTTGTAAAAAATATTGCATAGATTAAAGTGTATTTTGCTAATTCCGAGGGGATTTCAACACAAGAGCTCAATAAAATTTCAAGGGAAATAAAATAAAACTTCTGAAAGAGTAAAAATATGATGGTGGATATACGAAAAGAGTGTTTTAAAGAACAAAAGAATAAGATAAAAATATAGGCCCTTTTATTGGGGAACGAGAGATACTTTGAAACACATTTATATAAATCAACCAAGCTTCATCTGTAGACCATTAACTGAACATTGGTGAAATGGCTTCATAAATACGACAGAAAATAGTCTTTTAGTATTCATAAAATAATCTTTGACTATTAGAACAAGCAAACAAATCAACATATTTTACTCAGCCAGGTGTAAATGTTGCCTTAAAAGGACAGGCAATAGAGGTTTTGATCAAATTCAGAAATGCCAATTTTTAAACAATAAATAATTGATTGTCATAAGCAAAAAATGGAAAGTCATAAAACCAGGAACTCATTCCCCTGTTCTTCTAACCTGACCTGTTGTACTATTCTAATATCTATTCTAAATATCCAATGATATTTCATTAAAAAATCACTGATTTCAATCATAGTAGGAAGGAACTATGAAGCAGAATGGGAAGTCACGAGAAAAAGCGCAACGAAATCAGGAGATTTGGTTTTGCAATTATTCACAGGAGAATTTGTCTTGTCAGTCCTTAATATCAATTCATTGATATTTAACTCCCACGCTTAAAATTGGTCGGTTAAATCATGCAAATCAAATTACAACCAAAAGCAGTTAGATTGGTCTTGCACAAATGTGTTGAGAATACAATAACGATCAAACATGGTCAGTGTTATAGGTTAGAAATGACGATCACCTCTTCTATGCTAGTTTATTAATCCTTTATAAAGCAGTCAATTAGATTTATTCAAATACTAAGATCATCTCTCATTTAATGGTTATATCAGTGACCAGGCAGCATTTTAAAAAAAATTTAGATATTAAAGTGCATTCATCTGCCGTTATTAGCTATTTACTTTAAAATAAACCTGTGTGTAAGTTGTTTGCTCACTGCTCTGTGAAGCTAAACCTTCCTAAAAATGTTTTTCTCTGTTTTTAGTGCTATTGGAATTTTCACAAACAAATGACTTTTTTATTTTCAATTCACAAATTATGAAGTTCCATTTCTACCACATAATTATATCTTCTAAATACAAAATTTAACTACACAGCTCAAAATGGCGACTCACCAACGGGCTCTCTACTTGCGTTCGCACTCTCAACCTCGCTGTCCTCTTTCAGAGATTGGTTTTGAAGCTGCTGTAGTTGTTGTTGTCTGTTCAAGATTGTGACCAAATCTCCAATGTAATCTGGTGGCATTCCACTGCTTCCATCGAGATCAGAGAACTGAGGTGAAGTGAGGTCGCCTTCTCCGTCTATGTCCATAATTTGGCCAGTGGGGAGAGAAATGAGTTCGCTTTCCTGGGTTTCAACAACTGATGGGAATGGTAGTGCTGCTGGAGCATCGTAGATGGCCTCGCCAGTTGACCTTCGTCGAGTCTTATGCACTAAAGCCCTGATAGCCTGCAAAAAAAACGCGATGTGGATAAAAATCGACTTGTTAGGTATAATTTAACGGGCAAGCAGACGAAGAGCTTCGAGCAAACAAACTTTTTTCTACTTTCTATTTCAAAATAACTGTAACTGATTTATGAACGTAATTGGCCTTTGTCAAGGTGGGATGCTATTTGTAACAAGCACAGATGGCTAATTTAAGGCATTTATGAAAGTTCAGAGAATACAAAAATAGAAAATTTTGAACTTGAAACCATCAACCTAATTCAGACTCACTTTCCATCCAATATTCAAGATACTGGACGGGTGACAGGAACTAAAAAGTCCAAATTTATCATTGAAGCAACGTAATATTTAGCCTAAATTAAAGAAAATATTAATTTCATCTTCTAAGCACAGATTTACTAACATTTGCTAACAATTTGAAGAATGATTGACCGTTAATTCATCGACGTAGTGTCGATTTCCAGTGATGATAAACTTGAGAAGTTAACTTCCGTTTAAAGTCAATGAAATTTCACATCGTTGGGGTGAAATTATTTATTATTTAAATAACAATACATATGGGAAACGTAACTTTTCAACATAAAGTGACAGTACCAATAATATATGTCGAATAAATAATGATGACACTAAAATCCAAGGAACTTATGATGGATTCAAATTCGGTTTCAAGTATTTAAAAAGCTTTCATTCGGCTCTTTTGTACTCTAATGAATCGAGATAGCACTCTTTCCAGTTAATGACATTTGAGCTTTACGAACGTCAAATCCATTGAAAAAAAGAAGTCATATTCCTGAGTTTCGTATTCGATTTTTTTCACAAAATTAATGCTTCATAGTTCGATAATTGTATTGTATATATCCCACATTGGATCTTCCCCAATTGTAATAGTTAATTCAATTTTGTTCATATTTCTTCTCAAGCTCATAAAAGTACATAATCGAAGTAAATTTTAAAATAGTCACATAAAATAACAAATATTGCTACGAAATCATTTTAACCAAATGCACAAATGTGGGCGTTTATAGTGGTAAACACAAAATAGACACAATGGATATAGTATTTTGCTTTTGAAGGAGTCTTTCCGCCTCGTTGTTTGAATAGAGTCAAAAGGATGGAAAACAAAACAGTAAAATTGTGGTCACATGGCTCCATTCAATTCGAATACGTGCACAGAAAGGCTGAGTTGCCTTTTCAATAGGCAATATAATCCAAAGCACTTTGTTTATGCTGGCATTGGCACTTTGTTTGTTTTGTGTATAATTGGTTTTATTGCCTGATTGCGACCAAGTGACGAATGCTCTTTTTGCAACATGCCCAAATCGTGCCAAATCAAAATGACACTTTGGCCTTTCCATTGAAATAGAGCCAGTTCTATATAAATACTGACCACAAGTTTGTAAGGTGCCTTATGGTCTGCTTCTAGATACATAGCGACCTGATAAGAAGCTTGCTATTGCAAATCCTTTAGCTGCCTATCGGACATTTAAGGTAGAGATCACATTAATCAGTTCAATTACAAAAATTCACAAGCCGTATCGTTGTCGAGTGTTTGCTTCAAGAGTTATTTTATCGGTAAATAAGTTAGTCACAATCGCCCAAAAACGAATTTCACCAACCTTTAATGCCACTGATCTGGATGCTTACAACAAAGGATGTCATTTAAAATATTGTTAGATAGTTCTTTTAAGCATTGTTTACAAAAATCACTCTTCAGCATTTTCATCTGAAAATTCACCTCTCATCAACATAGACGATGAATTACTTCCCTGATGAATTTCGGTTTCAAATAAGATCACTTTTTTTAGCATTAAGTTGACAAAGGTATTGGTTTCTGGTTTCTAAATAAGGTAGCTCAAATAAATTTCTATGGATAAAATGAAATAATTTTAGAAATTTATTCATCAAGAAATACAAAATGGACTTTTATTACCAAGTGATAACCGTTGATCTGTCCTGTATGGTAGGCCACAAACGTTGTTCTTCTGTTGATATATCCGTTTCACAATCTTTGCTAGGTGTTTCGAAAAAATGCCCATTAAAATGATGTCTTTATGCTTCGTTATGTTTCGATCTTGTGATTTCTGGAGCCAAATGTAGCATGTTACACTCGAATGAATTAGTATTAACCATCCTGACTTTGATTTTACTCAAATGAGAGTATAAATATTTCCTCTTGAATGGATTTCCAACACTTTTTAATCGAAGTGGGATAGTTAAAGCTACGCATTTCGGTGAATTTTTTTCTTTGCGTGAAATTTGGCTTTGACTTGTCTCCTTTAAAACTGTTTTTTTTAATATCACGAAGTTAAGATCGCAACTTGTTCGCGTTCTGCAACAATGAGTCATACCGACCATGAATATTAAAGCTGTTAGACAAATTCCATAACACGCAAAGATATATTTTTTTCTCAACATCGTGGTACATTAAAATGAAGGTGAGTTATCAAAGTTATGAAAATATAAAGCTGAAATTTTCCCTATGTACCTTTTGAGATTATTTCTTTATTCTTGAGTCTATTGTGTCGTTGCTTTAGCAGTAACTGATTCATGAGAACTGATTAGTGACTGGTTAGTTAAAAACAATGCAAAACGTTGCCTATGAAAACCGACAGCAAATACAAAGAAAATTCCAGAGGGTAACAAATCGAATTCCTAACCGGATTTACTTCTCAATTGCTACGGTGGAATGGTATACAAGGAAATATTATTGAAAGGACGAAAAAAATTGCTCCTTCCCCAATAGCATCAATAATTAAGTATCTACAACCCTCTATCAAAATCTGTCACTTTCTATGAACCTAAACAGATTATATTTTGAATGAGCAAACGTGAATAGTTAGCATAAGCACTATAGTGTGGAGGCGATAATAGGTATAGTCCACTATATCCACCACTGACGCACTGGGAAGAGAAAGAAAAAAATATAAGATTTACGAATAGCGCCTCGTAAATCATTGTGGAATTAAAGCGCTGTCTATCTTTTACCATAACTCCTCAACCTGGGAGTTGGGATTACTTTCATATGTCAGCTTGCCAGAAAATGTGATTCAGTCTAATTGAAAATTTATGCATGGATAATAGTAAATTAATGTAGAATGTAATTACATGGGTGAGACAACTAATGAATTAATCAATTAAGGAAAAAACAATGAGTATTTACTCTCATGAACGTGAAAGAGGCTCGGATTCATAAAGATAGTTGTAAATCCACAAGTACTGGGTTCTGACACTTAAGAATTCAATTAAACGTTCATTATCATTGCTTAATTTTGCAATTTTTGATAGTAATTTCAAATTTCTAATGAATGAACAATTATTTATGTAGTTTTGATGTGGATTTTTTCATTATTCTGCCTACCTCCACGTAGTCAAATTATTTCACTTCAGATCTCTGTCATAATCATCTAAAAATTATTACGCCAGCTTAAGCCTACATGTCTTGACCTTTGGACGCCTTAAATTATGATCAGTACCTTCCGGTACACACTCAGAAATATTGTGGGCAGGGGGGAGTGACATCGATTACTTCTGGGTGTGGGAGTGTGCGATAGACTTACCTCCACGTGGTGCACCCTAGACAACCTTTACTCATACGGCAAAAAGTCTATAAATCAGCAGTTGACTTCTGACTTCTAACTACTGTGATCCGACACTATGACATATTTAACCACTCTCCAGTACTTATCTTACCTTTTCTCTGCATTTGCATCTCTGTCTGTCTCTCTTACGTCTGTGAATCATTATTCTGTTCCGCCGCCCCCCTCTCGACTTTTGTTACCTTGATGTTCCTCCTTCCCTCTGTGAAGCCCGAAGTCAGCTATTGGGCTAATGATAACTATCAAAAGGCCTGCGATTTGAAATAAATAAAATCTAATGGGTATGGGGGGTCAATAAATGCTTTATAATTCTCAGAATGCCTTACTCATACGCACTTCTATCTTGATCGCTTTCCATATTTACTTGGAAAGGAGAATCTTCGATTATTATATCCAAAAATTAAGTACCAGTTTATACTTATTTGATGCATATTTGAGTATTTATATTTAATGTCTACGTATTATAAAAGTGTGGGATAAATTTGGCTATTAATTCTTATTTTCTGACAATAATACAAGGAAAATGGTAAAAGTTGTCACCTAATTTCCAGAAATAAGATTAGCGTTGGCTGACCTGGCTTCGAGCGGCAATTTTTTGTCCTAATCGAGAGGAGGCGTAATTGAGTTCAGCATTTGTTACCTTTACCTCAGGATTTTTCAATTGTCCAACTCGAGTAAAATCAGCGAGCCATTCATATTCACTAAAAAAATATAATTTGAGGTTTAACCCTGGTATGGAATAAAATTAAATAGAAACTTATGAATCTAGTGCGTTTAATTCCCATTATATTGAGCCTTCCTTAAGCATACACGCATCTGGAGGACAAAACATGAATTAGCACAATGACATCTTTCCCAGTACTTCAGACTAATCACAAGGTCATGTACTAAATTATTGACAGGATCGTTTAGTCATTATGTAATTAACGTCCATGATAACTCAGTAAATACACATAATAGGGCATTACTTATAAAAACCCCTACTAACTTCCAGAGAGCATGACAAGGATTTAAAAATATGGTTAATTTATGGCACAATCTTTCTGGAAATAAAAATACATGCCAGCGCTGAGAGGCTCGTGTAAGATTGTTTTCACAAATATCCTTGGCTTATTCTCTATGTCATGCATTTTCAGTAAACTATGAACCCAATTCTTGAACGAAAGTGTTTATGGCCATTCCAGAATATCATTCATTCACAACATCAAATTGGCCTCATTCTAATCAATGTTCTCTGAACACCCACTACATCCCAAGCCAATTACTTTGATAAGGTCACTTTTAATACTTGAAAGCCTGTTAATTTGTAGTCTTTTATACTGAACTCGACTAATTTCCCAAGCGCTCATTCAATTGAAGGATGAATATATTGTCACCAAGTAACACGCATTGGTGCCTTCACACCCGGAAGGCAATATTCCCTTTCAGTCTCTCTTCTGAGAATGTTGTCGGAATGAGTGTGGCTTGAAGCCTAAAATAATCGTCTAGGTTATGATACAATATCCTATTGAAGATAAATATTACATTCTTCAAACGGCAGAGGTATTTGCACAAATGGAAAACGTCCCTTCTCCTGCTCTGATCATAAATGGGTATAGAATTTTAGTTTTAAACTGTGTTTTGTACATTGTAATGAAGGTTTTCAGCCACTTTAGCAATTTCGAATTCTTCTAAGGAATCGAGCCACTGTTTAAAATAAAATTTAATCAACTGCGGCTATGACCTTACTATCTGCCCAGAAATTACAATTTCAATTCTTCTTGTCCTTGATAGTATTAAGCCCTCAAAAGTAATAACAATTGAGTCTTGACAAATGAGAGAGATGCTTAGATAGTCATTCCTCACTCTGGCCATTAACGTAGGGGCTGACTCTGAACTATTGAAAATCAGAATCCGTTCCCATTCATGTTATGCCATGTACACTGCTTTGCATTCTTTGCTCTTGTAGGTATCTCCGGCTTTCAAACACTTCTGAATTTAATCTGTTTTCCCTCTCCCCAGAGCACGTATTGATCCTTTTGGTATGTCAATCATTAAAGGCAACTGTGGCAAAAGCAATCTGGCAAGTATCTATGGAGATTGTGGTGGAAATGTAAACAAATATGACTCCTTAGTGGAAACGCTCGTGGTAAGTCAGCATTTCTAGAACTTCATTTCTATGTGCCTTTCAGACTGGAAACTGCGTAACCTACATGTCACCCTGGAGATGTGAGGTAGAGTTGGATTGTTGCATAAGATTGATCAATGGTGGTTTTGTGGTAATAAATACCGTTTTGAATTCTCTAATGAGCGTGAGGTGATGTAAATCGACTAGGCGTTCTCTTATCAATGCACACATGTACCAAACAAACTCTTCATCACTGCTTCAACCCCCTATTCACTGAAATTTTATTTAAATATAGCTTGTTCGTTATATAACGTGTCATCAGGCTTAGTACAATCGGTTTAAAATGGGCATTTATTGATTTAAGTTATAGTATATTAAATTGCCTACGAATTTAGACAAGTACGATATTCGGCTATTGTATCTAATTTCAATTTTTATGAAGTTGCACGTACTGCAAATAATTTAGACATGCATGAATTTATAGATAGCTGGATTAAAACTAAATGAATTTAAAATTTAATCCCATAATTGTTTGCATTTTCATCTTATGTATGTCCATCAAATGCTATTTATGATTTCGACACTTGTGTCTTCGTCCCTTATTTAAAATGCGAAAAATTGGTGATTCAAGAAAATGCGAACTCAAAATATATTCGCCTTGTCCTGTTCTCAAGTGGTCCTTATTTTAAATATAATTGAAAAGGAATCATAATTGTTGAATAAGTGTTGCCTGAAGAGAAGTGTCGCTACGTTTAAGGATGACTCAATTTTTCCTCCGGGATGCTCACTTATAATTTGTTGGTTAAGAGTTCACTTAGAATGCACCCAAGTGCGCCCTTCTGGATTAAAATAATGTCCCAAATAATCAACTCGCTAGTCTCTTTATCATTCACCATTTAATTTTTAACTGCGACCAATGCAATCTAAGAACGAATTAACTCAAAGTTTATGAATAGTCTCGATTTCATTTAATTTTGTCCACTTTATACTGAAGTCGTTTTATTTAATGAGGTGCCTTATAAGGTCGTGAAGTCAATTCGAGAACTAAATTAATTCATATAAACTACAATACTATATCATGTCACTTAAAATCTGTATTTACAGTTTTGTGCTTCATAATTATAAAAATAAAAAGCTCAATAATTGCTAGCTACACGATTTAATGACTCCAGTCCAGAAGCGTAGAATATTTCCAGAAATTTCTTTCTTTTACTTCATTTACTACTTATTTTCGAAATTCAAGGTCAAAAAGGGCTACATTATTGTAGCGGCTATGATTTGTAATTCATTTACATCGATCTTTTGATCGTTGATAACTACTCAACTGAATGGGGGGATAGCGCTTATGCTAGTACACTGCTCTCAACTATACTTTAATCATCATTTTTAATCTATAGTTTATAAACTTAAAAATTTTTAAAATGACTTCAAATAATATAAATTAATTATAAATACGGAAGCTGTATGGGGTAAATAATTACTTTAAAATGATAAGTGTGAATTGATTTATATACTACTTATATTGAGCAATTAGAATCACTTGACCTACCTTATTAAAACAAATATTATGTCTTATCCCACATTATTTTGCTAAATATCTATATTAGGTGCTTTCATGATCGAAAACGGAATTTTTAATTCTGCTCGATTATATCACTAGTCATTGTTCACACACCCACAAAAAAATTAATTGAATATTCATAATATAAGTTAAAACACCATTGCTTTTTAATATATTCTAGAGGCTCTCCGGAGTGTACTAAGTTTTCCGAGTACAATCATGTTTGCAACTCAGTTTTAGGGGTTACAATATTGAAAATCCCTACAAAAATATTTAGTCTCAGATAAATGAAATGATTGTTCTGTATCGATTTAAGAAAATATAGACAAGCACTTCAAGTGCCCTGTATGTTGTCTTCGTTCGCTTTGAATTGCTATAATATGTAATAAGATTGTTCATATTTCAAAGACGTAATATTTTTCGGTGGAAAGTTCACCCAATGTCTCCTATTTATGTGTAACCTACAAATATCTATTTTATCTCATTTATTGCTAAACAAGTAGTCAGAACAAATGCCTAAATAAACCAGGTGAAAAGTATTAAAATAGCTCTAGATAACTAGTCGATTCGATTAATTTAATCTTTGCCCACAAAAAAAAATATATATATAATGATGATCAAATGTGCTTTCATTACACATGCTCTTATATTAATTAAAAGTTTCTCCATCTCTCTTCAAATTCATGTTCTTTATAAACACGTGTACGAATAAGCCATTAATTACTCTTCCATTGTCTTTTAATTTCGACAAAATGATTTCGGCTTTTCCAATCTATCCCCTTTCACCTTTCTTTGTTTTCCAAATTTTGAGTTTTATCCATAAATTATCAATATGATAAAAGCATAGCATAATTTTTAAACAAGATGCCTTTGCCGTAAATGATTTACTCCTACCCCTACAGCCTACCTCCATCTCCTCTCTTCCTTGGTACTTTCCTTTATCGGATGCGCCCCAGTGAACTTGGAGTAAGGTAAGCAGTAAAAATTCTTATTTGGAGTGAGGGTGCATATTTTATACCTACTCTTGTGTGGAGCCCGTATTCTAACACCATTTTTCGCAACCCGAGTTAAATGCCTATGTAAATTCTGATCTGACAGAAGTTCATTAAACCACCTGTGCATTGATTGAAACGTTCTCATTCTATCGTCTCTCTATTCTATACTATTAACTATTGTTTTCTGACATTTTCAGCTCCGGATTTGGACTGATAGAGTTTCATCCGATGATTCATCGCATGACTGGTAGAAAAATATAATAGGATAATAGGCTTCACTGATATCACGTGTAATCAGATTATAAATACCTCATATAGTGCATTCTATGAATTATTCTTTTTAGTTATCGCTTAACCTCCATCTTAGGCAATCTTGAGCTATTTTTCTACCTTTTTTCGTTAAAAATATATATATTAGAGCTCAAGCAACGAAGGTATGCGGATTTAATCAGTTACAAAATAATGTATAAATTTCAGACCGTTTCCGATAGCAGAGATTGAAGTAGGTCCAAAATAGCCCTCGTTTCAAACCCAATCACATACTGAAAATAAGAAAATGTTTTCTTTCTGTATTTTTTTTTAACGAAAAGAAATGAAAATCTTGCAGTAGAGTTGGGGGATTGTGTTATTGTTTCACCAATATTCGACTCTTGAATTCGAAATACAATGGATCACCTCTTAAAAGTGCGATAGAGCGAGTACCGATTGTACTAAGTGTTATATTTTAAACAAAGTAGTCTCTTTTTATTTTTCTGAATTTTATTTTCTTTACAGACAATTTGATCATCTAGTATAACTGTGTTTTTCAAATCAGGGCTAATGCGGCTACCTTAAATCACAACCGCATTGTGTGAAAAAAAATGTCCCTGAATGAGTATAAAGGGCACGTATTTAGTGAATAAGCCAAAAATTTTAGATCAAAATTTTGATAAGGTAGGCAACTTACTCTTCAAATCCAGTCCCATTCCAACAACGTTCTGGCCTTCCCATCAGACACGGTTGCCCCAAATGCTCGCCAAAGAGCCTTTCAGGCAGCATGTACTCCACAATAAGTTCTTCCATCCTAATGTAACTTTGTTTTTGTTCTCTGCGCAATTCTTCTAAGCGATGATTTGAGGGAATAAGAGGCCACATTTGAGTCGCAGTGCGATTTGCAGGTGCCCGGGATTCGTAGATTTGTAAAGCGCGTTCTGTTGCTGGCCAGAGAAAATCAGCCACTTCAGCACGCCCCTCAGTACTCCTCGGATCTATCCGTTCTACAGGAGGATTGCCTGTGCAACGATGTTTCACCTGAAGGAAAATATGCTCTCTTACTCTTGTTAATTGTCTAATACCACAAAATAATTGGTCTGCTTTTCTATCATTATAAATATAAGAAAAAACATTGGCTAATAAGCTAATAATAGGCTCATGATATAAATGATGAATAGTGGAATTGAATTTTTGAGTGCGAACCAATCATAATTTAAGAATCAAATGAAGTGATTATTTGTTTCAAATACTTTTCCAATATAATTTGTTTTATCGATTCTGGTTTTGCTTAAAGATAAAATGAAAAAAATGGATTTGGAGAGCTTTCTTCTGCCTTTTTCCAACAAACAACCTTTACTATTTGCCAGTTTGATTCCATATTAACGCGTTTCTTTCAAGAAATCAAATATAATGACAATCACTCAGTCTGACCGTTGAATACCACTTGTATTCTCAAACATCTTTTGCTAGTTAATTACAATTCATTCTAAAGTTTCAAACAGTCATTATAACTTTGTCTCCAACCGTATTTATTTAGGTTATCACTTTGAAACAGTTTATTAAATGGTCGTTTTGTGGGAGTCTAATAAAAATACATAATTAGAAATTTCCAAGAGAAAAGCTTAATGCTTAATATTAATAATTCAGAAGGCAAGAAGGTAGATATTAAGTTTTTTGCCTCGAATGAATTTAGAGTACTGAGTATTGCCAAGTCGAGATTCTTCGGACACCAAAATTGCTATTTTGATCTTCCACCACAGAAACCCTTTCGGATGATGTAAGAGATGATAAAATTCTGTTCAATTAATTTTACATTTAAAAAGCTTTTGTAAATCCTCACGCTCGCGTATGTGGGCAAGTCTCGAACAACTTGAACTCTAATCAAGCACCCAAGATATACAAAAGATTAATAGCCACAGGCGGGCTAAAATTTTCTTTTAAGATTGAAATCGTTGTTTACCAGCTCTCATATTTCAGTCTTCTTTAAATTCAAACACATAGATATACAAATATACTATTCATTTTAGCCAAATGATATGGCAATAATAATGGATGCATATATTTTAAAACTTGTTTAATTTCATGAGGAGCAATGTAAAACAAAGACGACTATCTTGCCTTAAGCGGACTTTTAGGGCAAAGCTGTTGGAGGTTTCATGAAATTCATTTTCTGCGACACCCATGTGCAACACAACCTGACTTGATAGTATGATAAATATTTATATAATAATGCATACTTCATCTCCAATAATAAAGTAAAATCAAAATATGGTTTTATTTATTCAAATTGTGCAAAATAACAGCCGATTTCAATATTCATCGCACTTTTAGACATTCCTACTATGACACACATGATTTATTTATTCCAGTCAAAAAGAACATTGTTTACTGTGCAGCTTGAAGCTCATGAATCATTACAACGACGGCTTGTGCTGACACAAAAGATTGTTAAAAGAATCATATTTCCAATTATTACGTCAAAGGTAAATCACTTCAAAATCATCCTCAAAAATAGAGTTTGAGGATGGGGTGTAGTTGGCATCCAAAACAAAATACTGAGCCGAAACAAATTCGTCAGTTGCACGATAAAATTCCGTGTGGTCAACTGAGATAAATTTCTAATGCCGTTCAATTGGAATCCTATTAGTTCAAAAGCGTAAAATATTTTTTTCAAGTATGATTTTATTGTTTATATATATATATATATATATATATATATATTGAAAGTTGTAAATAATCATAAACAAAATCTATATGCAATTTTTAAATCGTTATTGTTTGAATAAAAGGAAGTCCTTCGATTGAAACCGTCCGCCAATTATTTTTATACAACCATGACCTAACAGCATTCAAACACACAAAATGTTAACTTTTTTCATTTTATTATTATCATTTGAGAGAATAAAATTCACTTTTACCGAAAAACTGTTAATAAATGAGTAAATACTAGAAAGTGGTTCAAAGTCTTGAATTGATTTAAAGTTAGATGTGATGGTGAGTCAACAAAGGAACAGAATAAATTGAATCGAGTAGTCCAGATCTTAACACAGTTGAGCTTAACGGCATCTAATTAGTAGCAACCATCTACTTTCAACCGTTAGAACAAGAAATTCCGTGGAATTTGATTGATTCACTCCTCAGTTCAACCAAATGAGTAACAAACTATGAGAAATGAGGACTAAACTTAACGAAAAACTTGGAATTTAGATATTTGAAATGCACCAAGACCTCATCCTGGAAGTGTAAAATAAATAATTCGCTGAATGCCCAATTAAATTATGCAAACACTTTAGTACTCTATCAGCATTCTCTTGTACACTTACTTTTGTTTGGGAAAATTTGTTTTCTTCTTCAATCTAGATAACAACAATTGTGTACCGAAAAATACCAATTCTAAAAAAGTTCAGATCTTGTGGCTGGTTTAAACCATGATTCACCTTTGTCTGTATTCCATTGAGACAAAGTAAACCAAGTGAGCAGAAAGCCATAACATGGCTGCTTTTAATAAAGAAAGCACTTTTACATAGTCTCTTCTTCAAAGTCTAGACGAATTCGCTTTCGTTTTTCTTTGTCTATCCAACTTTAAATAATTAATTTTCGAGTGCTTGAGTTCAATCTACCTCCTTGTAGCATAATGTAACTTACTTATTGTTATTTACTTGCACTTGCAGTTATGACTACGTTACACCCTCTGTAACAACTGTTTTTGCAGTCTTTCTTTCTGCCTTATCATTTTTAATATTATTAAAATATATATTCATGGTCTCCAATTTATCTTATTCTTTACATCTGGTTGCCCACTAATAGCCATCCACAAGGTCATCAATTTCTAAAGGCGGTTTATATTCAACCTACTGTGTCACGTCCTCACATGATTTCGTGACCTTATTCATATTTCTCAATTAACCATTATTTTTATATATTTTTTGGGGGACATGGAGTTAGAAACCCATGTGAATTAACAAAGCCATCCAACTTTTTTCAACCTACTTCATGGATATGCCAATATGCGCATTTAAGCACCGTATTATGATCTTGTAAAATTTTATTGCTGAAAAGATCAAAGGCCCTAAGCACCATGATATATTTGCGATCCCAAAGTAATTACAGCCTCTTTCTTTTTTGGTGCTGATTTATTCAATGCATTTAGACAGTGAAGCTAAGTTACTCCACAAATCATTTCTGAACAAATTCGAGTGAAATATATCTTGGGATGGTAAGATATATGGTGTTCAATGACTTGATTGGAATAAGTGCGTGAAGAGCAAGATTCCTTTCATTAACCGATCTTTATATTTTGATATGGGGTGAGTGATAGACTTACCTCCACGTAGTACACCCTGGGCAACGTATACTCATGCGGCAAGAAATCTATTAACCGGAAGTTGACTCCTGACTTTAAACTACCATCACCGCACTATGTGTCATATTTGACTACTTCCACAGTACTCACCTCACCTTTTTTCTACCTTTGTGTCTGTCTCTTTTTCATCTTTGGAACACTCTTCTGTTTCACTCTCCCCTCCTCCCGACTTTTCACCTTGATGTTCCTTCTCCTCTGAGAAGCCTGAAGTCAGCTGAAGGGCTAATGATAACTATCAAAACGCCTGCCGTTTGATATAAGCAAATAAATAAATATTGAAATATATCCGATTTCAAGTTTAAATACCTTGATTTGCCTACGTCCCGTATTCGTAGATTTGAGTCTCAAGAAAATGAAGAGCTAGTTAAAAGAAGTATTGAAAACAATTTGTAGACATATATTACTCTTGTCTGCGCGAGGTTTAAAGGGTCATTATCAGTCTCACCTATCTCATCATGGCCATAAGAATACGCAAATAAATCTGAGTGCCATAACTAACAATTCAATTAAATCTTCCAATCAACACACGTTGGTTATCAAGGGTATTATATCGCCAAAAATGTGAGGATTACATCAGGGAAACAGAGATTTTGAACATTAGAACTTCATTAGAATGTGAACGCTTTCCTGCATCCAGAAATCAGACAAAAAATAATTTAAACCATTCATATTTTAATTTATATTCTAATTCAATCCTCTGTTTCTTCCTAAACTGGAATATTTCACTATTTTGTGTGTTTCGATCCCTTTTCGTGAATAAAGCTTGCCAATATTTCTGCAACGAGATATTCTTTGGAGTTAAAATTTTGAGTAACGAGGCAGTTTCAATCTCTCTCTCCAGGTCAAATACTTCTAATTTTTAATGATCAGCATAAAATACTACGTTGGATTATAGTTAAAAGCAAGAACCAAGAAATTGATTCGGTATTTACACGTCAATCCTTCAATCAAGAAAGTCAACATTGCAATTGTGCTAATGACAAAATTACTTCTTATCTTGTACTTTTCATCTTTCTTAATCTTTTCTGGGCCATTTCCATTTGTTCCCTTTCACATGCTCTTGATTCCATTCACTACTTTAAAGCAATTAAAGATGTAAGAAAATGCCTAGAAATCATCTTAGCAGTAATTTGATCACAACTTTTCATTAAAATCTAAGAGCAAAATCAACATAAGAAAGCTGGAATTTTCCTGTTGGTATCAATAGAAAAATGCCTTATCGTCATTCTGCGCCATATGCATTTCTTGAGTACCCCTAACACTCGTATCTGAAATTACGACATTTGAATCTAATAAATACGATGAATGAGGAAGGTTGGCCTCCCATATGTTCCCAAAATTTTTATTTGTATGTTCTTTAATCTCTGAAACACAATAACCTCAATCTCACGCTTGAAGTGATTCAATCTCCTACAATGTCGAGACTGTTACGAAGCTCACAATAGTGCTAAAATTGGTCAGTCTTATGCTGACCTCAACTTTACTTTGGAGAAACATCGTGTGTCTTCAAGTGGTTTGTTTTGATATATTGAGTAAGCCACTTAAGTGATCCATGAGTGAGTGTTACTATGGTCCAATTTTCGCTATGTGCAATGTCCGGAATCACTTCGGCTCTTTTTGCCACTCCATCTCTGTCTTTATAAAAGGCCTCTTTCGCATACACGCGCACGCTTGCCATTTCAATACCACCGAAGTTATCTACCTTTGTTTTTTACCCGCTCTCTCAAATTTTAACCGTTGTGAAGCAATGGTCTTTGCGCGGTACTTATCTCTTAGTGTTTGGGGTGTGTGATAGACTTACCCTCCAAGTGTTGCACCCTGGGCAACATATACTCATACGGCAAAAAGTTCGATAAACCATCAGTTGACTTCTGCGCTCAAGCTATCATGACCCCACTATATACATATTCGACCACATTCACAGTACTCATCTTACCTTTTCCCTACCTTTGTGTCTGTCTGACTCTTTCACTTCTGTTAATCATTATTCCGTCCTTCCTCTCTACTTTTTGTCACTTTGATGTTCCTCCTCTTCCTCTTTGTGAAGCCGGAAGTCATCTAAAGGGCTAATGATAACTATCAAAATGCCAGCCATTTGAAATAAATAAATCTCTTAGTGTTTTGTTTGACTTTAACTGTAGTCATCTTTTGTTGGCTGTTAGTCAGAACTACGGATTTGTTGACATCGTTTTTTTACTTTAACGAAGAACTATTAAATTAAAATTTCCAAAATTCAAGCAAAAAATTGAAGTTATTGCGAATTTCACATTATACGATCATAAAATGCTCCCATCATTAAAATAATCCGATAATAATAATCACACCTAATTTAACAAAATGGTTATAGAGAATTTGCAATAATAAGTTGTAAAATTATTCGAAATCTAAATTTTCATGATTTTACATTCTACAGAAAAGAATTGGGACTTAGTAATTTAGAACAAGTTTGCAATGAGACCCTCAGGTTTGAATGAGCGAGGAAGAGGTCTCCTAATCTCATCACAACTACTTAATCAGGAGAAGTATTTGTGTTTCAAATATTAAAAATTATAAGATAAATCAAGTCAATGAGTACGCGCTTATTAAGGGCTTTAAGACAATGACTTCTCTAATAAGCTTAAATAATGGTAGTTGCTAACTTCATCCAAAAAAGAGAACTAGCGTACTATCGAGAAGGCAGAAGTAGCACTGTAGAAATCAACATTTTTCATGGTAAGTGGCTATTAGGTATCGCTCAATTAATTTGAAATACATCAAAGATAACATCATTCAGGTGGATAATCGCTGTACCCAATTACAAAATATTTAACACCCTAATGTCCATAACACAATCCTAGTTATTTGAGCTAATCATCAATTCATTTGTCAACTTTGATCCGGTTCATTAAGCCTTAATCAGTTACAAGCTGTCATTTCAATTTGTTCCCTTCACTCTTTATGTGAAATCTTAAGCGATCGATAGGCATTTACTTGGTAATTCTTCCCCTTAATATAATTGGTTCCCTCTTAACCCTAAACCTTTATCCACAAATTGACAGTGTTTGAACACTTCAACACAACACCAACATCATTATCGGATTCCATTTTGATGAAAAATTCACTATTTATGCAAATCCATGTGTATTTTCTTATTCCAAAATAAATTTTCAATACGTGCGATGGCATTTACCTCTTTAATTGCAAAAAAATGAACACACTGCTTTTAAATTTGTGAATAAAAAAGTGATCTGATCAGCTTGTCAAATAATTTATTGACCACGACGTCACCTCTGTTTCTTTGCTTTGAAAAACAGGGGAAATCAACGTTGATTCAAATCTAAAATCTGTCAAAAGCATTTTGTAATTTACCTAAGGTAACTGAATCATACATGAAGGTTTAAAGAATAAGTTCGTTTTCATTTATTTAGCCTTAATCAATATGTCGCCTTCAGAAAAGACTTTGTGACCTTTTCAGATTGTAACAAATCAGCGTGCAGTTTTAACTGAGAACATGACCAATGAGGATGCTAAAGGTCAGAAAGGTATGTATGCCTTAAATATACACCAACGAGAACACTTCAGTTAAAAAGTATGAACGCCCTGATTGAATATCCGGTCTACAAAAAAATGTATTATGTGTGCTAATTGTAATTACTAAATGGGGCGATGAATTTTGAAAATTATGCAATACACGTAAATTTATGATTTTGTCTTTGAGCTAATCGCATTGATGATGATTAGAACTTTGAACCTGATAGACTAAAAAAATCAGACCAATTGGAATATGTCCATTAAAAGTTACCCCGGTAAATTTCAAATAAATATAGAGAATATGAATAACTAACATCATGGTTAACTGTATACCTTTTCGTTGATCGCTTTCCATTGCTTCCGCGTTAATTTCTCTAAACGTTTGCTCCAAGCTCGCATTTCATTTAGGAAGTAATTATGAAGAAACGCTCCACCGTTGCTATTGGTCGATCTCGAGGTCCGTTGAGTAAGAACCCGTCCGAGGTCAATAAAGTCCTTGGTTAGTTGGGATAGCTGTGGCAGAATACCAGTGAGACTAGCATAACATCCTCGAATAACATTAAGACATCTGTGGGGGCAGGGAGAACCCATGTGAAATACTACTTGTGGAACTTCTTGGTCGTATTTTTGTTCTGAGATAATAGATTTGTTGAAGCTTTGACACAGGCGACAAAAGAAGAGTTTCTCAAATGCTAGTGCACATGACTCCGACAATTTTTCCTGTTCAAATGTCGAGAGAAGCTGGAAAAATAAAATAATCAATATTTTTTGTTTATATTGTTGAATGATAATAAAGTATTATAACCCACCTCGATAAAGAATGAAAAATGATCCAAATACCTGACTAAATTATTTTCATCATTATCCTCAATATCAAAATTAGAAATATCTGTGGAATTTGGATTAATAATTCCAAGAAGATGGAGAATTTCTGTGTCAGTGCCAAGGCAGTGTTGCAGATTTGGTGGAAGTTCAATCAAATGAGAGGCGGTAATTAATTTTAATTCCAATAAAATATTCCTATATGTATAGTTATGAATTGGAATGATCTTTTCAATTACTTTTTCGAGGTCTGTAGGTAGTCGATTTTGTCGGGCAAACTGACCATGGATAGAACTGAGGAATATAATTTTGAAACCGATGTTGCTATTTGATGAGGAGGGAGATGACTCAGCGTTCCACTAGTGAATATGTCACTTAAATAATCCTCAAGGGATTGAATAAATGGTTCTAAAAGTTATTGTGTAACCTAAAGGACGAACTTATAAAAATAGGAAAGAATGAATCCAATTCGCTCCTGATAGATCCAATCTTAGATATCGATCTTATATCGTCTGCGAGTTTGTACGTCAAATAAATGTTTTCCGCTTCAATACTGCAACAATTTTCCGAGTTCATACTACAGTGTTGTGGTTTTGAAGCTAAAAGTTAATTTAATAAAAATTTCATACCCGGATTTGTGCTAACTAAATCATCATCCTCAAATCTTTGGTACTGCACTCCTTTTCCAAAAAGATGATATCTTAGGGTCTGGGATGCTATTTGAGAATTTTCGCAGCAAAGTTGCATTTCAATGATTATTAGAATAATAAAAGCATTTTGTGGACAATGGAATGTTCCCATATTTAGTAAATATATGTTTTATTTTATTTTTGCGCATTTCGTGCACATTTTACGATTCAATTGCGTAGAAAGGTCGAAATTGATGTTGAAACAACTAAAACAAATCATAATTTTTGTAAATATTCATGTTGGTTTATTATAGAAATGACAATTGCTAATATTTCAAAGTCCAAAATATTTAGCTGTGACATTGTATTAGCTAAAATAATAAGCTGATGCGTACTCATAACAATTGTGGGCATAATCCTATTTTTCCTGGAATAAATGCTAGGATCATTAAATCAGTTATCAATACTCATTTTTGTATGATCGTGTATAAAGTGAAGTAGGAATATATCTTACTCATCGATTATTTGTAATAAATGGATTTAAATAAATAACTTTTACCTTTACTTTCACTAACAAAACAATCAAAAATGTGCCCTATAGAGGTAAACGAACAACTAAAATGCTTTGATATTCTATTGATCAATTAAAGTGCTCTTAACTTCTGAAATTATCAGAAGTTAAGCATTTAAATCATCTCTACCAGGTTCACTTCTGGTATCGACCATAGCGAAATAATAATGCCTCACTATGTATCAAGGGATCATCCATGTCCTTTACAATTATTAACTGGTAAAATATTACTTGCCATTATTTTTAAGCTGAAAAAACCCTTATTAACCAATCTTCTTTTCCGTTAGATTTCCATAAATACTTCACTATAAGGACCTTCCTTTCAATAAAGTTAGTACCTTAAGGGTTATTTATAATTTCCATGGCTCATGAAACTTTGTTTAGATTTGCCATTTTAAAAATTAAGCTATTGAAATGCACCATTCAAAGAAATAAACTATATGAAGCTGCAAGGCCGACACATACTAATCAACAATCACAGAACTTAATAGAAAAGTAATGATTGCAATCCAGAGGACGAATCCTGATATTTAAATTGTCTTATGTGAATGATATGTTTAATGAATAATGTATAACTCAAACCTGAAAATTAAATGACGCGATATTTATCTCCAGAAATATTATTCATTTTTACATATTAATCACAAACACATAGTGACTAATGAAGTGTTTGAGATTACTATCTAGCTCAAAATAGCCCTGGAAGTGATTAATCTTGTGGTGATCTAATAATTTGTCAGATAAGCAAAGCATAATTTCTTCGACAGGCATTATTATTATGGTTAGGTTCTCCTATTATCGATGTATAGAATCATTCTACAGCACTAAATAAGGCTCCGTTTATAATTGCACAAACACAAAAGCAGGTATAGACCTGACGTTTACCAGTTCTTAATCTATCTTTCACAACTTTCTCTTGCTTTCTCGAATGTTCGTCGTTATTATTCAATACGTCTTGGTCCATACAGCCATTTGAGTAAAAAATTTTAATCGTTGCGGCTACTGGTTGCTCCAAATAGATATCAAGCTAACGACTTTGAGATGCATTAAATTTACCATCTTTAGCACTTGTTACTGCACTCATAGGGCTAATGATAAATATCATAAAGCCTGCCATTGGAAATAAATAAATACTGCACTCATGGTGTGCGTGATGGACTTACCTCTACTCGGCGCTCCCTGGAAAACGTATACTTCAGCCTTCAAACTATCATAACTATCATAACTGTATGCCATATTCGACCACTTCCAAGCACAAACACTACTTTACTTTTCTCCACCTTTGTGCCTGTCTCTTTCATACCTGTGTATCACTTCTCTGATTCCCCTCTCGACATTTTGTGATTTTGATGTTCCTCCCCTCTGTGGAGCCCGAAGTAAACTATAACCAATAAGCCTGCCATTTGACATAAATAAATACGCACTTCACCTATAATCATTTTTTAAAATTGTTGTTAATTTAAAACACATTATTTCTACCGAGGTAAAAATCACAAGCAGCTAAAAACCATTAGATAAATTTCCCAAATACTTTTTTATTTAGACATTGATTATAAAAATAGGGAAATATTACTATCTAGTCAGTGAATATGGGGTATAACGGTCACAATGGCACTATGAATTTAGCTCCGAATGTGAATACAATTAATAATAGTCTCAGTAAGTAGAAATGGATTAGTATACGACACAAGTATTTCCGCCTAAACTATGCGGATAAATATATAACAAAGTAAAGAGTAATAAATGTAATGAATTTGACACTGGTGGTGCAGAGTTTAACGTACTAATTTGTTAATTCAGAGGTCTTTACATTTTTTAAAGATAACAAAAATGAGTGTGTCTGTCAAATGTATGGTCTATAAGAAATTAAATTTCTCATCAAAGAGGCCCGCTGGAACCCACTTTTTAACCCAAGGTGAGCTCAGAAAACTCTTTCCTTGATACTCTGGGAATGACAAAAAATTTCGGAAATTATAAAAAAACGTAATTTAATTATATCAGGTGTAAATAAACTCTTAGTCACAAGTAGGACGAACGTTAAAATGAGCATTGATAAAAAAATATAACTTATTTCATTCTATGAATTAAAATTGAAATAACGGGGAAATCGTGTTTATTCTATCCAAAGTTCACCATCATTCAAAGTACAATATAATTTCAAAAGCTTTTTTATTTCCATTCATGAATCATAATTTATCGCGTTTTTCCACATTATGACGTAAATATAGCAATTTTTGGCTAATTATTTCTGGTTTTAATTTTATTTCTACCCAATTCAAAGTCATTTGGCCAATGACTATCTTTATTTTCATTGGTCGATATAGTATTTGATTTCGCTTCCAAGGGCATCATCGCATTGACCTATTTTTACCTTCAACTTGTATATTAATATTTTTTGCTTCGGTTTTTATGTGATTTGCTGCTTTTGGCCCCATGCATTGCTCACATATTTGTATTATTTTCAGTTGTCGGTTAATTTTATTTTGCATTTTTATATGTACATCTATGTAAGAGTATTTGAACTTTTAGCTATCAAAAAATATGCCAAGGACAGCACCCAAACATGCATATAAAATTGTAAAACCGATAAAAAAGGGATTTGAGATTACAGACCCCAGCGGTAAAGGATGGATTGTTGGAGAAGCCATAGGACAAGGAGGCTTTGGCTGTATCTATTCGGGTATTTTTATACTTTAGTAATTAATTTTGTTGTTTTTAGCATCTTCAAAAGATGACCCAAAGTCTAAGAAGTATGTTTTAAAAATTGTATGTCCTTATATCTTTTCATTTTCAAACTTTTAAATTAGGAACCTCAAGAAAATGGTCCGCTTTTCACTGAATCCCACTTTTATACCCGATTTTGCAAACAGAAGTTATGTAAGTGAATGCCTTTTCTCTCTGATTCTATAGTGGATGATTGGAAAGCGCAGCATAGACTTGCTTTTCTTGGTATTCCTCGATTCATTTCAAAAGGCCTGTTCGAAACTCAAGATGGTCTTTCATGTCGATTTCTTGTTATGGACCGTTTCCGTAGCTCCTTCGAAGATTGTCTTAATGACAAGGAATTTGTCCCCTCTGATATACCTTCAATTGCCATTCAAGCTGTAGGCTGCACTTCAGTCATTTGATTATAAGATGTACGATGTCATTTTTATGCTTTTTATTTTACTTTTAGATTGATGCCCTAGAGTACATTCATTCAAAGGACTATGTTCATGCTGATATTAAAGCGTCAAACTTACTTCGAATGGATGATAATAAGGTGAGCCATTCAATGAAATTTTTGCTAATTCGGCCTACGCGGTCGTTGAAAAAATATTACTTAAAGAGGAAATGCTTCATTTACTTGACCTTTATTAGATCTTGGCGTCTTCCATACGATTAAGTTATTTTTCGTTGTTGCTTGCTTATTATCATGATTAATAATATTCCTCTTGTGTTGCAGCGCCTCCTTCAGGTTATTTTATAGCTTGTTGATCATGTACAAATTTAAACTTAATACTTAATCGTATACCCGTTTAAGACAGATTCTTGTAGAAAGAAAAATGTGTTGCATGAATTTTCCCTTTAGTCGTCTCCAATTAAAGTTGCATATATGAACTTTCTTGTGGTTATCATATGCTGAATGGAATTAAGCTATATAGTTCCTTGGCAAATATTATTTCCTTGTTTTTGAATGGATGAAGAGTTGAGAATTCACAACAGAACTTTAAGCAAATTGCCTTTATCTATGTTAACACTGACACCATATTTAAGAAACGTTAATTCGGTGAATGTTTTACAAACTCCTAAGGGATTTGAACAAATGAACGACAGATTGTACCCATCTAAGCAAGGGGTTTCCGTGTTCAAGTGCTTTTTAATTCTGTATTTAATGTATTTGCTATTCTCTTATTTAGTTGAGGTGCGTATTTTAAATCACATTAAACGGAAGGCTCATATTAGCCCATTTATCTTATTTTAACACCCTAAGCGGAGATTTAATTTTCTAAGTTTATTTAAATAGGATAAAATGAAGTTACCCTATTGCTTAGTTCAAGTTCGAGATTATGTTTTTTGCGGATTTTCTTATAAAACCACTTTACTGATTGAAGTTAACTAAATAGCTTCTCCCAGTGCAAAGTTAATGTGTTTAAGTGGAAGGCATCTGTAAACGGTAAGAACATTATCATATAGAATGGTAATCGGCCATCCAAATTATGTTCACTATGGCATCCTTATAACAACAGGCTGTCCTTATTGCTAACGCGTTTTGGCATAATGATTCACTGTTGGCGCATGCTTTCTTTATTGTAGGTCTTTTTCATCTCGTGAAGTGGTTTTATCTAAAATAGTCTTAAATTGCACTTATTAGTTTATTTTGTAATTGTTTTGTTTCTTTAGTTTTACTTGGCGGACTTCGGTCTCATAACCCTCTACCGGATAGACGGTAAGCACAAACCCGAGAAGGCAAATCCAAAACTTCGCGACAACGGTACTCTCGAATTTTGTTCTCGTGATGCGCATGCTGGTAATGTTTGGCTTTCGTTGTACTTATTACGTTCTGCCTATTGCATGTTTATTAAGTAGTCCATTCGTTTTAGGATTACCGCCCTCACGTCGGGGTGATATGGAAATCCTACTCTTCAACCTCATCCATTGGCTCTATCGGGCTCAACCAAATGCCGATCAAGGACCATGCGCTGGTCTACCGTGGAATTCACTTATAGGCGGTGAGCATTCTTTGCTCTTAATATCGTTTTTTGTATTAACACCACCTATCAGTGCATCCGTTGTCCGTTGGACGTGTTTCGCAATAGCTACTACTGATTCAAGAAGTATATTGATGCCCATCTAGTTAGGAAATTCTCGAAGAAATTGGAGCGTCAGCAGATGTTAAGATGTTAGACAGAAGTGAATTTGGGTAGCTTTTGCCAGATGTGTCAGTAGGGTGTTCTGCAGGCAATTTGAACCTAAAGTATTTAATAAAGGAATAGATTTACCCTATACCTTCTAGTTTACTCCTATCGGCTTTGAAATTCTTCGTTCATTTGCTAACTGTTTTGTATACATCTCTTCCATAGTATTTGCTATTCCTTTAAAACAATTTTGTGTTGGTTTGGGGCACACTATCTTTAACTGTTTCCTTAGAACCTTCGATGTTTGTTAATTCATTCATTCATTCATTGACTAAGCATCGATAGGGATCGAATACGCAGTTTCTTAACCGACGCCGATTGTCCAATAACACCTCGTATGCGAATATTGGCGCTTAGTCTTAATGTTAGTTTAAACGATTCCACCTTTCAAATCTGATTTAACGTAAACAAACAGTTTGAATGACAGAAGTAAGCCTCTTTGCTTGAGTAATCATTTATCGCCTTCTCATTGGCTACGGATACACACTCAGCCAGCGGGATGAGCAATCGTATTGGTTTAACCTGGCTAATGAAGGCAGTGTCTGCGTTTGACTTTCTCACCATTGAGGTCCTATGATGTGAACCATCAATCAAAGGGGAGAGTTTGGATAGCCTCTCCTAGAAAAGACTTAAGGTTTCTTGAATGCACCCGATAGCGGCCAATTTGGTCTTGGTATGGTGACTGGAACTTCTTCCACGAGTAGTCATCTAGCGTTTTTCGTGTCTAATTTGTTTTAAATTTAGCTTGCTATAGATGAGTGATTTTTTTATTTGAGATTTGTTATTACAAAGGGTTGATTGGCGTCTTTACGTATGGTTGTATAAAGTCGTATCACACATGATTTATAAGTATTTTTATCCATTTACCTTTTTTAAGTTTTTTCATTATTGACATGGTGCTTTCAATTTAAACGAAAGTCATTTCCCACCAATACACTACGTGTATATCTTTTGCTATTGAGATCATATTTTGTGATCTCGCAAGCATTTCTGTTAGTCCTAATATCATTTATTTCTTGCGAGTAGGTTTAGTGACATGTAGAAAGGTTGTATTTAAATTTAAATTCGATTTTTTAACCTTGATTAGCATTCGAAGCTGTTTTAATTGTTAATAAATGTGGATTTGAATGCCTATTGTAGTGCTTACATTCACTTGTCTATAGATAATTGTCAGTCCCTATTTTGAGGTTAAATAGGCTCTGTTATACATTTTATTTCCAACTATTTGTTTGAATTACATTTTTTACAAATATTAAGAAATGTGAAGTTAGGAAGCAACAAGAATACTTCATAATGTATTTTAATATTTGTCTACTTTAATATTTTTCTACGCTCTCTTTTTTAGACCCCAAAGTTCGAGCGAACGTACCGAAACCAATTCGAGATCGTTTAGCTGACGCAAAAATTGAGGCGATGGATCCTTCCAAAGCTTCCATCCTTGTGAATGCTGTCGGTCTCGGCCAACTTTCTGGTATATTTCTCTTTCTAACTTATTTTACTTTACTCTGCACCTTATTTCCGTTATCATTGCCTTACCTCATGTAGCTCTCGAGTCTCTCGTTCTTGCCATCGGTGCATTGGGTTATGAGAGCACACCAGACTACGCCAATTACAAGCGTCTCTTAAAGTCACTTCAAAAGAACCTAGCCACAATTCCCTCGTTGGCATCAAAACGTTCAAGCATTCTTACTGAAGTTAACAATGGAGACACTCGCAGTCCTAGAGGCTGTAGGGCTGCAGCTAAAACAACAAACGATTCAGGAAGGAAAACTTGCAACAGAGGAACACCTAAATCGGCTGTTGCAGAAAAGAAATCAAGAACGCAGACTGATGATGGAAATTGGTACCTTGAAGCTTTGTTAAGTGTTTCTCCTAACTCGTAGGTTATGTTACTCGTATTGATCTTGAAGTTTGTTCACTAAAATGCTTTGCAGTGAAAGAGATCAAAATGGAGAACTTAGTGTAGTGGTTGGTTCTGGGAATCCGGAATTTGCTCAATATTCTTTTAAGATTCAAGAAAATGCAGGGGCTTTTGTTTTAGACAGTTTCACTTTAATTTCATTCGATTAGGTTCCTTTAGGTGAGGTCTTCACCATTCGAAGCATCTAATTATGCAGATAACTGTGAAAGATTGCATTCACGGTTCAGGGGCCCCTTTCAATTTCATTTGTATTGAACGTGCACATGAAATTGAACTTTCTACATTTCATCTTTATTCCTCAAATCTGTAGCATTCCACTGAACTCGCATTTTGCTCCACATGTTAGCACTATTCTGATTTTCATGTGTGTTTTTACTTTTTTCTTCAGAAAAACAGTAATGTAAAATAATCAATACCATTTAGTGTACCTCAATTAGCTTTCTTTAAATCAATCCGTTTCCACTACGCTCCCATTCCTTTCCTCTCATTTGCTGGCAATTTTCCACTGTACTCGTCTTCTAATTTTGCAAAAATTGTTGTACCCTATTAGCCTTTAAGAAGGTCTTTTGGTAGGAGGAAATCAAACTTGATTTGGTCTAACATCTCAAATAGTTTTATTGCCTGAATTTCGTGTAACTTTGAATCTCTCTTGGAAAGTGCATTGTCTGTTTCAAGATTTTAATCATGTCAGACTTGTGCTATCGGCTTGTGTATTGCCGTAAATGACTTCAAGGTCCACGGTTGAATCAATTAACCTAGTTATCCTCAATTTCAGCCAATCTGGTCGTAAAGACATTCAAACTCCATCGACCCAGACCACTGGCCCTTCAATTCGTCGATCAGAGCGTAATAGACGTCTTCTGTTTAACTTCGTATTTGATTCCTCTAGTGCGGAAGAAGACAGCGACAGTGAACCGGAATACATTCCACCAATTAAGCCTTCTCCTTCAAAGAAAAAGAAGGTGGCAACCAACCGAAATGATTCCAATGCAGGAGAACAGAAAATTCGGAAACAAACTACTTCTGCACGAGCGACCGCGACTCAAACATCTCCCAATCTGCTGAAACAGTTGGAAAGAGAAGAACGAAGAAGGAAATTCTTTTGAAATGCCTGTTTGTAATCTTCCCTCTTTGTGTATTGCATTTTTATATCGTATATATTCAGTATTACCCTCTTAGTAAAGTGCTTTTGTTGTAGTTCTATCTTGCTTTGGGCTTCAAATTGTGCCCCTCGTGCCTGTTGATATTTTCCCAGAGAGGGAGCATGTTTTGTCTAAGTCACATCATATTGCCTTTTGTCCAGTTATGAGCGGGCGGAAATCACAAACTTTATAGAGGTGTGCAGGCCTTGCCACAATTGTTGTTCTTGAGAGTGAGCCCGCTTTTGTTATCTTAGAAGTTTTGCCTATTCGTTTATAGGTCTAGTAAAATTGTGGTTGGGGTGATTCAATCGCTCATACGTTAATCTTGTGCAAATTCAGATACTGGCCTTCAAATTGCATCAAGCGATTTAGAGCTAGGTTGCAAAATGTGTGTCCATAAAGCTACAAGAAAATTCTGATCTCCGTCCAAAAAATCAATACAATTGCCCCTTCAACTGTCTTGATAAGTATTCTCAGTCTAAGTGAACTTCTCACGTTTACTGAAGGTGGCGCGAATTGTAACTCATGCTTTAGAGATTTCCTCCTGTTTGACAAAAATTTTTTCTGCGATACGAACATTAACTGACAATTTTAGATCATATCGATTGGTCTGTGCAATTTGTGAGCACGAAAACGTCGGAAGAAAAGTTAAGATCCACTAGATAGAGTTCCCTTGTTTCTCAGGTCGTAGTAGTCAGAATGATGAATGCACAAGTTAAAATTCAGACTTCAAACAAATCCTTAGTTTTAAGATGAAGCTCTACGACTGTCTAAATTGTATCGACTACGCAAAATACTCTGATATAGTTTTTCAGTGATAGAGCTCAATGATTTTTTTATTCAGTGGTGCCTGTTCTAAGAGCTATAGGGATAACCTGTCATAGAGATAAAATAGCAAGTAATGAATCACACGCTTTTGATTGCATTGGTTAGTCATCCAACCACCTGTTTGTTGGTTGATAGGACGACAACCTTAAAGCCAAGGTTAATTGACCCAACGTCGTAGTTGAGGCTAGTTAATAGCATCTACGTTTCAGTGAACGACGTTGCGCCTCATTGACCCCACCCGATACTACGAAGATGGTTTCACATGATACGTGGACATAAAATACGACCTAAAAGAAAGGTTCTAAGCGCATTTCTTGAAGAAACTGGGTCCCACTAAGGGTAAATTTTTGAGGCATTTATATGGGTGTGCATAATGGACACATTATTGCCGATCAGTTTCTGCTTTCGATTATCCCCTTTTATAATAGCACCCTTATGTCCGGAATCCAGGCTCTTATTATCTGGAATCGAGTCAAGACGTATTCTATCAGGACCTTGCATTCCATCCCAATTACGCTACTACTTTATACTCAACTGACCGACCCTTCACTAAATCCAGAGTATTAGCAATACACCCTACAACGCTCACTTGAGTGTTATGGCCTGAAGATATCCATTCCAGTGAAAGCCCTACGTTAAAGTACACGGTCTTTCCAAATTTACTTAAATAGTGTTAGTGGTTAGCACTAGTCGAGTTAATGTGACTCTTTAGCTAAAAGGAGCAGAACCCGATTTAAAGGAAATATGTAAAAGTTATCGGGCATAAGGTCATTTATTCCAGAATACATAAACAATATATGATGCTGGAAAAGTAAGAGAAAATGATCACTCATAGGATGTGCTTTACCACGACGCTGGGACTCCGGTTTATCGAACCCATGAGACAACAGGATAATGGTGGATTCGAACGACGTTATCAAATCTCGATCGCTTTTTAACACTCTATCGCCCCATAATTGTCCCATGACCATGAAATTGAGCTTTACGAATTCAGATTCCCAGACATGTACACGTCTAGTAAATCGGAGATCACTAGATCAGTGAGCATAGGCACATCTGCAGTGGTGTGGACGAACAACCGCCCTGCTCAATTATCGTCAACAAAAAAATGGTAGAGTGTGAGTTTCCCAATGGGAGGATCGGAAGAAATAGTCACCCTGTCCAGGTTATCCATTGTGAATACTACTGCTGAATTTGGGAAATTACAGACGTCACCTGAACTAGCATGACACGATTAAAAATGCACCGCAATCGGCAAACGTGATGTGCAGACAACGACGAATAAGAACCAGCGGGAATTTATTTGGCATAAAATTAAGCGCGTGTTAGGGAATGAAATCGTGATATTTTTCGGAAAGTAGGTCACGATTAAAGAAGAAAGTCAATAATTTAAGTTAGTATACAAACGACACGATTCATTTTGTATTCGGACACGACTGTTGCCTCTGAAACATTAAACGAAACGACAAAATTATAAACGTAAAAAGACCGGATTCAAACTCCCAGCACTATACAAACTAGCTGATAGATGGATGATGACTTTCGCGACGAGAGAGGAACCTACCACTAAGAGCATTATTCCAGCTGCATATACAAGTGTTAATGTGAGCTCACCTGAAGGTGATTGTTGCGTTCGAATACGAATGCCCAGTGTGAAGCATTAAATGAAACGACGCAATCATAAACGTAAAACTAAGAGCAAAACTTCCAGCAAACTAGCTGATTGTTAGATGATGTCTCCCTAGAAGGGACAAGCCTATCACCGTATCGAGATAGCAATAAGGTTCAGGCCTTGTTAAAAAGTCTATTCCCACGTGAGCTCACCTTCAGTATCGGCCGTGCCAATGTGGATAGTTATTCCGTGGTGGCGAACGATCTGATCGACTTCTGCTGAAACCATAGTCATACGAGGATGACGCTGAACCATAATTTGCTGCATCACGATCACATCCATAATACCCATGAGTGGAACCACTGAAAGAGAGTATTATTAAATCGCAGAAAAGGATGGAAACCTACGAATAATCATACCTCGTAGGTGGCGCCCGACTGTCGTAACGATCAAAATCATTACGAGACAGAGGAGAATGAGCGGACTTATCTGGCGTATGACCATAATCGCGATATCGATCATAATCACCGTAACGATTACGATCTAAAGTATCTCTACGGGTATCTCGAGATGTGGATTCATAACTGTGACCGTAATAATCATTGCCATAATGACCTCCCCTAGAACCCATACGAGAATCGTAACGCGAGGAGCTACCATGTGCTCTTGATTCATAATTATATTCTTTTTGCGAGTGCGCATGCGGAGGGTAATCATAGCCCCAAGAACCTGAGTCATTATAACTATTGTCACGCATTGATGGATAGGTACAAGGACGATCTATTCTACGAGGACCATCGCGGTCATAAAGACCTCTAGATTGATCGCGAGCAACATATCGCCGATCTCTAAACCTCATAGGACCACTACGTTTACGGCCATGACTCAACTCAACGCTTATTCTGGAACCATTAAATTCGGTGAGATGAAGTTTTGAAATCGCTTGATTAGCTTCGGATTCATTCTCCATATGCTAGAATAATGATATTAGGAAAGAAAATAAATGCCATACCACAAAGGCGTAGGAACTAATAATCTCGCACTCTGTTACTTTACCAAAGACTTCGAAGCGTGCCCTTAAGTCATCAGACTTAGAACCTCTAGCTAGACCACCAACAAAAATCTTCACCATTTGTTAGACGTAACTGAGTCCGAACCTACCACATTTGGGACGATTCATTAAAACAATCTTACGTTTAAAATCTAGTGGATGGCAAATTGCTCATTAAATGTTTGCCAATTATTCTTTACATATATTCAAATCTGACAAAACTTGTATATTAAGATTGAACTTTATTTTAATTCACTTATAAATGTCTTTGTTTTCCATATTTGATTCCGTCATCTCTTTATAGTTTACCGATTTGGAACATTTTTTATGAGCTGATGTCTTTTCCTAAAATTGAACGTAGCTTTTAGCTTGAGTAAATGTAATTAACCACTTATTCCGTATTTTTCGACAATTAACTTATCTTGAGGAAATATTTATTGACTTAAATTATTGCAATATATATTATTGCTTCTTATCTCTGAACCATTGCAAAACAGTTGACTTTATCTAAAAAGCAATAATATGTAATCGTGTTAGAGTAATAATTTACTTCAGTTTTCATTCGATGTACTTTATGATCCCTATCTAATTTAGGATGGTCGCTGGGTTTTCAGTTGGCATAAATTTTAGATTATTTATTCCCTTTCCGCTCTTTTTATTTCTTTATTTTCGCTTATTACCTAAATTTCTAAAGTTGTAAATAATGGAACTTGTGAACCAGTTAATTATAATTAATAAATAATCTGTACTTGTATAGATGGGCAATGACCTCATGATTTTGGTTGAAGTAGAGGCGATAGAGTGTATAAATTCAGTTAATGAAATAGTGACTATTCGCTTGCAAACATTGTAATATAAATAATGAATAAAGACAGATTAATGCTGATTTCAACAACAATTATTAGGTCATATGCACCCTTCTGCACACACAACCGTACAATCCAGAGTGTTCCAAAGCGCTTGGGGTTGCCTAGGTTAATTGTTTTAAGATTGTGACTGTAGTTTCTGAAGATTTCAAAGCATAATTTTGAATCGCTGTGCGTTTCTTCAGAAATGAATAAGTTTGCTGCTTTTTTGAGTGTATACAGTTATGTTAAATGAAAATTAATTTCTTGGCATTATTTTGAAATCAACACAAAAAAATATATTTTACTTCAGAGATTATAGTTCTTCATCTATTCCATCATGGCGCGATTGCTTAATTCAATTACTCTCCTTTTAGTTATTAGTCTATTATTATTATTATTAGCCCTTTGATTTCCTGTAGCTGTTTCTTATTAATAAGAAAATTGCGTTAGTAATAGCTATCGTTGAGTATAGGTAGATCAGTTGTTAACTTTAACAAATTACGATTACCACTCTTATATTACTAATAGTTAACTCCCACACACATATGAACTGCAAAATACCGGTGGTCCTACTATAATGTTATAATATCATCATCAGTGGCTATCGATTTTTAATTCCTGACATCAGATTATCATTTAGATATCACACATTTTGGAAAATAGCCACGCGTGTGTATGAGTCTTAATATATGCTCTGATTAAAACTACATCGAAATACACCAAGAGGAAAATGACTAGTGTTATGGACAACGTCCCAAGCAGAAGTTTGCTTCCTGATGCTGCCGACCTATTTACGACAGTTTGCCAACATTTGGAGATACAGGATAAACAGAAGGAAGCTTTAAGCAATTTTGAAGTTTATGGTTCGGTTTCCGAATTAGCGCTCATTGAGAAGCTCTTTTCACCTTCTGATTCAGCCACTCAAGCCGTAATATTTTATAAGGCAATCACAAATGAACGCAAGCTTTTTAAGATTCCAGTCACCCCAGGATCGAGCATTCTGCAGCATAAATTAATCAGAAAATCTAAAGGATCATATATTACCACTACCAGTTCACAAGCTTCAACAGCAAATTTATCTAAACATTCGTCTGATAGTTCTGTCACCTCTCTCGAAGTTCTAGCAAAAGTAAGAGCACCCAGTATAGATCTGAAAAGTGAGGATCTAATTTACGAAGCTGAACAGCGTCGTTCTGATTCTCCACAGTATTTGGTAGGTCACAGAGCTTTTTCATCTTAAAACTTTAAACTTACTATTATATCTTAATTTTCGATAAAAGTTTTCCCTTCATTTTCTTTCGTCGTTATATATATGCAAACAGATTAATCTATTTTCATCGAGAGATTGTTTTAAAGTTATAAGATCAAACGGAATATTTATTCGATAGCGAAAGGTGGTTATTTTAAGACGGGAGATTTATCTTAAAAGATATAGTTCTAAAATAACTATTATATAAGTTGACTATAACTATAGGAAAAAAGAATTGCTGATGATTTTACTTAAGAGTAATCCGTCATCGATTGAATAATATCAATGTTTTTCAGTGGGAACAATTATCAAACCGCATATATATCAAGTCAAAAGTAACAAGATCTATCCTCACCGGTTCAAATCCAGTTCATTGTTCCTTTTTATCAGTAATCAGATAGCAGCACCCGAGATACTCATAAAGGTGGCATCAGGATGCTTTTCAGCTGCTCAAGTGCTTATAGCACTTTTCATGGGGTTCGGAAGCTTAATGAGGTTCAATGACGGCCCTAATTGTAGAAAATAACATATCTATTGCTTGGATTTCAAATATTAATCTTCTGTTGTCAAGTGCCTTATCTTTGATAATGCCTCGTGTTCGCTCAGTATTTTCCTAGTTCAGTGAAGCAATGGAAAAATGGTAATGCAATGTTTTAACTCCATTTATTTCGTCTATACTATGTTCGTGAATTACGCAGCTTACTTATTTCGATACGAGTTGATAGTGATTTTATTGTGCTTTCATTATGTAAATAGTCGTTTTTCTCGAAATATGAAGCATTTAATTGGAAGAGTGATCTAAAATAATTTCTTTGACTGCTAATCACAGTCACTATTTCAATCGTGACCTAAGCGAGATCTCGTCGTTGATTAGAATCTATTGAACAGTAACTGTAAGCCATTATTTTTTCGACTTTTTTGTCTCGCCCTTCCCATCCTCCGCCTAAAAATTAGTTTTCTGAGGAAATTTGGAATAAGACAAATGACTTTTGTTTACAATGCAACCTTATTGGGCTAGGGGTTGGTATTCACTGAGACCGCCTGCTGCTATGTTTTTCAGACACGTTAAGGAGTAAGAAGATCTATAACACAACTAAGATAAGATGATTGGCTTACTTTTTAACATTCAGGACTGTAGCAGTGAATGGAAGAAAAGTAATCAAAAAAATATTGCATTCAAGGGTCTAATTTATTTTCATAAAATCCCTCGAATTTTTTTCCACTGTGTTGATGCCAATTTACTCTCCAATTTAACGAGACATTTGGACATTTTGACTTATTAGTAGCCTGGCCCCAAGATACAATTTCTATGTTTTTAATTAGCTTATTCTCTTCCATCACTGTCCTCATTAAATGCATATGTACGGTCTCAAACACAGCCTATCTCCTACTACCTGTCACTGTAAACTTAACAATTGATTTCATTCATGCATTAACTTGACCTTAAAGCTTGTTTAAAAGAACAACCTTAGTTATTTAAACTTTTACAGGCATTATGAACTTCGTAATTGTTTATAGCAGTTAACTTGGATGGATCGAAAGGCATTTGATACTTCTTATTATTTCAAAATTAGACCGGATCTGGATAAAAACACGATTCAAGATAAGACTGCACCAAACGGATCGTAATCAAACATTTAACGAGATTGATCTATTTAAACGAATATTTGAAATAAGCACTATTTGAAGTAGCATAAAAATCTAACAAAATATATCAATAAAATACCCTAATATTCATTTATTTTCATTGGCTAAAACTATTCACTTGTATGAAAAAATTACCAAGAGCTGATCTAATGAGAAGCTCTTTCCCTTATATTTACACAATGCGATTGACCAATTACACCACTCGATATATACTCTAACCCGGCAGTTGATTTCAAACTACCATGATCCCACTGTATGTCATGTTCGATTACTTTCACAGTACCCATCCCACCTTTTTTCTTCCTTATCTTCCTTCGTGTTTGAAACATTCTTCTGTCCCCCCCCCCCCTCTTGAATTTTTTACACTTTGGTGTTCCTTCCCCTCTGTGAAGACTGAAGTCAAATAAAGGGCTGCTAATGATAACAATCAAAACGCCTGCCATTTGATATAATAATAATAATAATATTAATGGTTAAGAACTTAGCTTTAGAGGTATATATATATATAGTGTTTAAAATTGTTTATCGAACCTTAATTAGTACTTGAAAACTGGCGTATATTGTGCAATAGTCAAATAAACGAAATTAAAGATAAGCCTAATAACTCTCAAATTTCATTGACCATGATATTCCTTGGGACATTCATTATTTGAGCTTTTGAAGCCAAGATCTTTTTTCCTTCCCCTAATTACTGAACGTCAAAATAAGAGCTCTTTGATACGAGCCTTGACTTGAACGCTTAATCAGTCATTCACAGATTCCCGCAAACTATTTCAAATAAGTTGCATGGTGTTTCACTTTCACAGCGTCTTCTCCTTTCAGGTATTCGCCCGAACATACACGCGAGTAAAAATTCATGTCAGAGCGGCACCTCTAACCGACCAAGAAGCCCATAAGCTTGGCGTGGAACGATGTGTTTGTGTTGTGCGCCGCGCGGATCCCGATGTTCCATTCAAAGATGATATACTTCCTATCACCAGCCTTTTCGAATTCATCATCGTTCTTTATCCCATTCTCCCTAATTGCAATGATCTGATTTCCAAGGTGATACTTTCTGGAATTTTTTTCCAAAACATTATGCCTATGTATTGGTTACTATTTAACTCAGTTAAAAAATTTTAAATTTTCCATTTTCTCTGAGATACAAAAATCCGTTGAAATCTAAAGTCGATTTTTTGTATATAACAGCGTATTTGCACTCCCCATTGGACAGGTCGTATCTCTTTCCTTACCTATTCGTCTGTTAACGTACTTCAACGTTTGTTCACGGAATGTTGCAAATATTTATTTATTTATTTCAAATGGCGGGCTTTATGACACTTATCATTAGCCCTTTAGCTGACTTCGGGCTTCACAGAGGGAAGGTTCATCAAAGTAACAGAAAGTCGAGGGGTGGGGAAGAGAAGAGCGATTCACAGATGTTAAAGAGGCAGACAGACACAAAGGTAGAGAAAAGGTAAGGTGAGTACATTGGAAGGGGTCGAATATGGCAACCAGGGGGGTCGTGGTAGTTTGAAGTCAGAAGTCAACTGCCGGTTAACAGACTTTTTAGCCGTATAAGTATACGTTTCCCAGGGTGCACCTCGTGGAGGTAAGTCTATCGCACACCC